TACTGTGATAGCAACAAACCTCAACGCCAACAACTATTATTTGATTGAAGAGTTTCTTAAGCTGTATCACAGTTTTCTAACAGTTGCAACTGCTCTGCAGAATCGGTCAAGCTCGGCTTAAAATTGGCAGTCTTCAAAAGCTCCACATATTCAACTATATGAGCAGTAAAGCGCATTCAAGCCCTGCCAACTTTTCTTGGGACATATCAAACCTATAACTTTATACGTACAGTTGTATAAGCGACCATGGTCAAAGATAAATCACCAAAGAACTAGTTTTGTCTAAAATAGGGGGAAATTATTTTCCCAAGTTGTTTGCATCTTGTTTTTTAATAATTTTCCAGTAGATACTTGTAATAAGCACATACATACTTTACAACACAAATATATTTAGTCTTTATGCAAACGTAAATTTTCCTTTGTAAACATAAAGTCCATTCAGTGTGGAGTTAATAATTTATCTTGCATGCATGGGTTGGGTTCGCAACAGTTTGTGGAAAAGGGAATGAAACTCACATGATCTGAAATTTGCAAAATATAATGACTTCAACGAGAACAAAATAATTATTTTGCCCGGTGTGTTTGCAATCGACTAGTTTGCTATTCCTGAAATGTTGATGGAATGTACAAGGGTGTCCTGAAATTGTAAGTGCCTCTTAGTTTTGGCATATGAATACATTGTTGTAATATTTTACTTTAGCTTGAATAATTGATAAGAAAAACAGCAATGTAAATTGCAGCATTGCCCAGTGGATTATTCTCAGGATAACTGAAACAGAATTTTTTTTAATCTCTATTATTCATTTTATCAAGTCAATCGTTGAATAATTTTATTTGCCACAAGTGTTTGCATGAATCTAATTGCATAATGAGATATTGTTTTTTTTATGCAGGCTATAAGTCAAATCATGAGTAAGTGTTTTCAAATGATGACTGGTGATAACTACGACAGTATAGCGTTCCCTGCTATTGGTACTGGTAACCTTAATTACCCAAGAAAACTTGTAGCCGCAGAGATGTATAATGAAGTGTTCAAATTCAGCCAAAGATATCTCAGTTCTGTCAAGGTGAGTGGTTTGGTTTTGACTGTTAAATATATGCGTAGTACACAATGTGAGTCTTTGCGGTTATTAATACGTTCTGTGTACACATGTGTCTGTCCCACTGATATCTCAAGAACCTATTATCGGATTTTAGTGAAAATTGGTAACTTTATACATATATGCTCTGGGATAATGTTCAGACCTGATTAATTGAAAGTTTAAATCCGTGCATATAAATTACCTAATTTGCATATTAATTAGCCAATTTTAAGCTTTTTCACTTGTTTTTACAGATTTCAATAAAACTTCATACAAAGATGCTTGGGTCTAATGCGCAGATGTAATTGGTTTGTGATTGAAATCCATGCATATTATTGGCCAAATTTGCATATTAATTAGTCAGTGACCATATGTAGTCATGTGATCTAATTAATATGCATAATTGTAATGTATTAAGCACTGCTGCTGATAATAACATGCAATCAGTGCTATAATACAGGCATTTGACAAGATGTGACTAACATACCACATGTCCATGCCTGGTCATGTGACCTCATTAATATGCATAACTGTAATATTTCAAAAACAATTTGTGGTCAAAATATGACACTGATCTTCAATGATTTTGTATGAAATAAATACAATTTTTGCTTTACAAACTGTATGTTAATTAGAGATGTGCTTCTAATATAGTAAATACAGTTTTTCTTATTTGTACTTCATGTCTTCAATATACTCTTAGCACACAGGAGTTCTTTCTAAGCTTTTTTTGGTATTATTTGTGTCTACCATTAATAGGTTAAAGTACTGACGTTCTTGATTCTTGGTTTGTCCACACCTAACTTCTTAAGGGTGTATAAATCACACACATGTTAATTAACATACACACATTCATGCTCAAAATAGACTAGAATCTCACTGCTAGGTCCTGCGTTATGCGTAAAATGTTAAACAGAACAAAAAAACATCACTTCAGCATAAAACATTTGATGAAGTTCAATTTTGATGAAATTTTGAGTATCTCAATGCTAGAGGACATTCAAAATTTCGACATTGAACTATGAAAAATAAGAAATCAAATATAATTTGATTTTTGCAGCAGAGGTTCAGTCTGTGTCTTTCACATAATATCTTGTTTGAACTTGATCAGCTTTCTGTGATGTCAGGTGTGGCTATTGAGTCATGAACGGATTTGATTTGATGGTTGGATTTTATGAATTTTCCTAAAAATCACACATCTGCCAATCATTTGGATGGATTTATTCATGGGAGCGACAGTTCAAGAAAATAACCAAATGACTTAAATCAGCCAATGAAATTGCTTCCTGAACTTCCAGAATTTGCAAAAATGTGTCTCTAGCGAAATTAAAAACAGTAAGAGTATACTAATACCTTTTTTTTTTTATTCTTCAGAAAGTTTATTTTGTAGCTTTTGACCAGCAAACTATACAGGCATTTAACGATGAATTATCAGCCAGACAGGACATGTCAAATCCAAGCTATCGGAGCATGTCTCTTCCTGGTAAGGAGGCATTTATGGTGACAGCCCCTTCACCTGGGCAGCAAAGAATGGTAGTTGGACCAATAACTGTGGAAGTTCAGCGAGGTGATATTACAGCAGAAAACACAGATATTATTGTCAATTGTTGTAGTGGTAACATAGGTATGTAAATTTTAAACCATTGCTAAAACAATTTTTTTTTTTCTATAAATTCAAAACCACATGACAAAAAAAGGTCGCAGTCAAGTCTTTCTGTGTTTATTTTCCCTGTGTCAAATATTTGGGGAAAAATTAACAATTTAGTCATCTCCTCTGGAGCCATTTCTCGGGCATGCTTTGAGCGATCATATTCAAAATTAATACAAAGACAGTGTATTAAATATGACTTGCATCTGCTCATCAATTATCATTATAATTTGATCAAGTATGGTCATTTTGGTCCTCAAATTTGCTAAATTCTGATATTTAAATGTGCTTGAAACTGTTTCTCAGTGATGAACAGTGGTAATTCATTCAAACTTTGTATGGGGATTTTGTATGAGGAATTTTCGAGGTTTGAACAAAAATGCTGTTTATTCATTATTATATCATCTGATTCAGTTGAAATTGAGCACAAGAACCATACTCATCGTAATACATTATGATGTGTTATTTGATGAAAATTTGTGGAATTTATGGCCATTGTATCTAAAATCCTAAAATTGCAGTCAGTTAATGTGTCTGAAATCATTTCTCACAAATGAACAGATCAAGCTCTGTATCACGGTCATACATACTGGGTTAATACAGGGGTACGTCATTTCAACAACTGTTTCTCAAAATTGGCTCTCATGATTTTGTTCAAACTCGATCAGTACGATGATTCTACTTACTGAATTGCGGTTGTACAGATTACATTTTTTAGTGATTCAACCAAATATGCTCATCCTATTTACAGTACATTGCCTAGCAACGACTCACATCGCATCACAACACTATTTAGCCAAAAGTACTTCCCCACTCTTGGATTATTGCTGCTAGTGATTTTGACATTAAATACAGAATGGCAACTATGCATTATCAATGCTTGTTTCATCTTGTTTATATTGATAATTTTTCAGGCCAAGGTGGTGGCGTAACAAATGCCATTATGTCAGCTGGTGGGTCTGCGGTTAAACAAGCATGCGCTGCTTACACAAACCAACCGAAAGGTTCAGTCTGTGAAACAGGTAAGTACTGTGAAAATCATTCATAAAACACTCGTACAAAAGTCAGGAAACTTTAAAGCAGTAAAAAATGTTTCCTATTTCATCTCTACAGTTAGTGGAAAACTAAGTTGTAAGAAGTTGTATCATTTGGTGAATACCACGGCATCACAACTTGGTAATTCTATTGTAAAATGTCTTACAATGGCTGAAAATAGTGGTATGACATCAATAGCATTCCCAGCGGCTGGCACAGGTACGTTAATAGTTATAATAAAGTTCCCGTCAATATTTAATGTTCATTTCCATTGTCATGACGATGGAGCTGAATTATAACCAATCACCTTTTTGTCATGACCCTTAATTACAATCTATGAAATATGGTGCAATAAATATATTAGTCATATAGATTCTATATCAGCAAAATGTTATGTATTGGTATCTTCTTGTTGAAACTATATTTCTTTAAAGAAGTGTAATGCCCTGCCTTGTTGAATATGAAGAAAACTCCTGTTTTACATGATTGAACCAA